GCGCGGTCCTTCCGGATGATTTTCAGGACGACGTAGACGAAAACTACCAACATCGCGGCCGTCACGACGACCGAGGCCGCGACGGAGACGTAGACAAACGGGCCCCCGCCAGGGTCCACCGGGGCCGGCTGGGGGACGACGTAGGTGAGGCGATCCGCCGCCTCCGGGCCCGCCCGTCCACCGCCCATGCGAAACGGCAGGGCAAAAAAAAGGAGGGGAGGGGAAATCTACAACAATCAATCACGCGATCACGATCGATCGCAAAATCGCAAAACCGGTCGATTGGGAGGGCCGGGGGCGATTAAAAAGAGGAGGGGAGGAGGTCGGGGAAAGGGAAAAGGGGGGGCCGCCGCGGTGCAGGAGCCGGCATTCGATGACGCCTCGGGGGACGGTGCGATGCGAGGGAGAACTCACAACGAAAAGAAGGAAGGAGGGGGGGACACGTCAAGAGTAACTTAGTGGTATTCCCTAGTTCTAAAGGGATAAAAAAAAAGAAAAGAAAGGAATAATATGGCAACATTGGAAAAGGCCCTTTAGACAGGCTACATGAGGTGCATACGCGCGGTATCCCGCAGGGGGTTGGATTCGTTTATCCCAAAATATCGCAAGGTGAAAAAAAAAAGAGAAAATTTCACCACTCAGGCCACCTTAACAGCCCTCACAGTTTTCAGGGGCGCCATCATCTGTGATGGCTTTTCATCCATCCCATGGCCCCTTTCCCTTCGCGCTTTGACGAAAAGCCGCTCCATTTTGTACGCCAATGGCGATCTCAAGGTAAAAATAACGGGTTGAATCCACTCCAAACCCTTCGCTTCCGAAGCTATTGTCAATTCTATATATATATATATCTATTTAGTTATTGATTGATTGATTTCCATATATATATATATATACATATGTATATATATATATATATGTATATATTTAGGGGGAGAAACTGCGAATGAAATTCGTCGAACCGGCATTCGGGACGAAGCTCAACCCCACGAGTCCTCCGCTCGCCGGATCGCGCTTGGCGCACTTTATTAAAACGCCATTCGAACGTTCAAACGCCGCACGATCGCGCCCCCGCCCTTCGCGTTGGTGGCAACAAAATGAAAAAAATAAAGAAAAAGAAAAATAAAAAAAAAAGAAAAAGAAAAAGAAAAAGCCCCCTTCGCCTCTTCTCTTTTTTGCAGGTGGACGACCCCCCGGTGTGCTTTCACGCGCCCCACCAATGACGCCTTTTTCCGGCATTTTACGCCATGCCCGGCAGTTCGAACCTCGACTTTAGCGTCCATGTTAGACGTTCCGGGGAGGACAACGGGGCCCCGCTTCATTCCGCCCCGTAAAAGAACGGCATCAACGTGAGAGATCGCCCACATCATTTTATAGAAAACGCCTGCCAAAGCCACGCAGGGGTGGGACGGCGCGATCCCACGAGGCGCGGTTGAAAAGAGAGGGGAAACCAACCCAACGATGAGGAAAAGAGGGCCTCCACACAAAAATAACATCGGCGACGAGGCCGAAACCGACGCAGGCGCGTCCTAAAAAGGAAATGCTAAGCATCCGAACAATAACCATTTAGGAAACCACATATATACATATATAGATATATGTATATATAAATATATGAAAGAACTACAGAAAATAAACTAAAAAGATGCAAAAATCACGCGGTCGTTTGCATGTCGCCACCCCTCCAAACGCCGCGCCATCAAAAAAACGAAATCCCCCGCGCATTTCTTCCAAGGCCGATGGCCTGGGCCCTATTTTACTTTTCTTTGGATGGCGCGGGCGGCTATGGCGGCGGTGCGGCCCCCTCCTGAGCCTGCGGGGGGGTCGCGGCGTCGGGG